GAATCCCAAGGCATCTTACCTCATCCTTACCTCAGATTGACATATATACCTCATTTTAACTTCCTGTCTCTGAACCTGTCATGCATGTGGGTCTCTGTCTCTGATTCTCATGTATGTTCCCATATGTACATATGAAGTGAAATTTGGTTATTTTCTCTTGTTAATCTGTCTCACATCAATTTGATTATTCGATCAGCTGAAAAAAAGGAAAATGGAAAAAAAGGAAAATGTTATCCTCTTGTGGATAGCTTAGCATGTAGAATAGCGAATAATACTACACTAACATTTGAAAAAAAAGCAACACCATAATTCTCTCAGTCTTTTTTTTTTTTCTCCTTTAACATTTACTAGTTTCAGGTTGGCCAGCATCTATGTTCATTTACTGTTGTTCTGTGAAGTTACTGGTGTCCTACTCTTGAGGATAAGGGAATGTTCATATGAAAAAAAGCTACTCCGTTTGCAATATTATATACATCTCCCTCTATGTAAAAGATTCATGACGTAGATAATAGCATTTGAACTTCAATACCCATATCTATGAATAATATTGGATTATTTACCACCTGATGCTACTGGGACTACCAGATGCAATAACCCTTGAAAAGGCACAAAGAGTAGTGTCACTTGTTTAGAGAACAGAAACTCAATTCTTAAAATACCCAACCACATTAGTGCTTCTTTAACATAAGTTTCTTCTTTTTTGTTGGTTAATCCTCATCTGATGTTTTTTTTCCATTGATTTTTAGAGAGTGGAGGGAAGAGAAGAGGGGGAGAGAGAGAAACATTAATGCGAGAGAGACACATCGACTGGTTGCCTCCCATACATGCTCCTATCTGGGGGCCAAAAATCGAGCCCACAGTTGAGGTGTGTGCCCTTGACCAGGAATTGAACCCAAGACCCTCCTGTCCGAGGGTCGACGCTCAAACCACTGAGCAAGACCGGCCAAAGCATACGTTGCTTCTTTAAAAAAAAAATCTCAGAAACTTACTTCCACCTTATAAAGCTTTCATTGCTTATTTGTAAGAAGTGATGCCTCTTTATATCTAAAGAAAAGGCAAACAAAAAAAGAAAGAAAAGGCTGAATGCAATTCGTGCTGTTTCCCTTTGAAAAGTTTTAAAATATAAATCTAAATTGACTGCTGATGTAGGAAGTGTCAACTCTCTTTAGTTAGAAATAGATGCCAGCAAAGAAATCTTAAAAACTTCTATGAAATGCCAACAAGCTTCTGCATGTATTTCCCTGCTGTGGGTTCCTGCACATTTCTGTTCTATCCCAGGAGAAGCCCTTTGCTCTATTAACAGAAGCCCCACCTGGTAGGTGGGGTGTTTCTGTTTTGCTTTCCGTTCCTGAGTGAGTCATAATGAGATACTGCTCATTGTGTCTAACTGCTTTATATAGCTCAAGTCAGAGAACTTCAGCCCGTTCCCACAGCGGCACACAGTGGCCTTTCATCTGTTGCCTCTTGGGAAGGTAGCCAATAACCAGAAATGAAATACAGCAGGACCAGGCTGCACACTTTTAGGAAACAGCAGTCTTTACCATGGGCGAAAGGAGAGAACCCTAGAAGTGATCATGCCCAACTTATAACAACGTGGCCACTAAAAGAAGGTGCAGAGCCCTAGCCGGTTTTGCTCAGTGGATAGAGCATAGGCCTGCAGACCAAAGGGTCCCAGGTTTCATTCTGGTCAAGGGCATGTACCTTGGTAGCAGGCTCCTCCCTGACCCGGGCCCTGGTTGAAGCTCATGCAGGAGGCAACCAGTCGATGTGTCTCTCTCATATCAATGTTTCTCTCTGTCTTTCCCTCTCTCTTCCACTCTCTCTCAAAATCAATGGAAAATATTCTCGGGTGAGGATTAACAGAACAACAAAGGAGGTACAGAGTAGATGCTGGAATTCTGTTCCACCGTTATCTCTTTCCGTTTGTATTTTGATCTTTCCCTTTTTATGAGGCAGTTCCTTTCCTCTGTGCTGCCAGTTATGCCCCAGTGTTCCTTAACAAAGTAACAATATTTAATGAAAAACCCCACTGACTTGCTTAGTTTGGTGTAGCACAAGGTCTTGCCTCCCCAGGTCATGGGTCATCTTCTGTTTAGGACGACTGCTCCTCTGTATAGCTTGTCCTGTCTCCCCTCGCCCCAGTGTTAGTACATGCAGACCCAGGGGAGGGTCCGAGGACTGAAAATATACTCCGTAAGTGGAGGGCAGGGAAAGACGAATGAAAGAGGCTGGCCACTCCAGTCTGGGAATTAATAGAGTTTATTAAGCGGAACTTCTATACAAGGCATCCTGGACGGTTAGAAGATAAAATGGATCCCTGGGCTGCTTGGTAGATGCCAGAGAATTATATACAGGGGAAAAGAGGGAACAGTTGCAGGCACTAGCATGTGAATGCTACCAGACACAGGAAATTACACGCTTGACCAGATCGAGGCATCAGCCTCTTCCAGGAGCCGGGGAGGGATACTGATTAATGTCAGAATGAACATTGATTATGAGCAGATAGTCCCGAAGGGCGGCTTTGCGGTCAAGCAATCTCTGTTCTGGCCGGGTCCAGCTTGTGGGTCCAGCAGCGGTCACGCCAGGGAACAATCTCTCCTTCACAGCTTTTCAAACTAACTGGTGAAGAATCAGGGGTTTTGTTGCATTAAAAAAAAATTTCCAATACATCATGCATTGATATTTTTATAAGATATAATAGAAGAAAATGACATGAAAAAGACATACAAAATACAAACCACATTTTACTATGGTTAGATTCAGTTGTCGAGATAGCTAGAAAAATTTCTAGACTCTTAGTCTTAATTCTGTACTTCTTTCTTGGTGGGCCAGTTCCGGGGCCACACATGAAAACAAAGCCTAGCGGAGACTCCGATTGGTTGCTGGTCCATTGATGGGCTCCCTGGGACCAATCAGTCACAAGGGAGGAATGATCACATGGTATGAACACGCCCCTTCGGCAGAGCCTTTGGTTGGGGGCACTTTCCAGAGGATGGGGCATGAGATATAGGAGCACAAAGTTTTGCTGTTTGCCTGGCTGCCCTATGAATGCAGCACCTCAGCAACTTCATTTGGTCAGATTGCTGAGTGTCCCACCTGCTCATATGCTGGAAATTGGAGTCTGAGAGCAATGTCCTGTAGGCCAAGCATGTCAAACTCAAAGGCTAACACAGGCCAAATAAACGAGGCATGCGGCCCGCAAGTTTGACATGCTTGCTGTAGCGTAAGGGTTCCATAACACAGAACAAGATCTTCACAGAAAATAAAAAATACTCATTAATTGAATGCAAAGATGAACAAGGTAAGCTCTCTGCCCTCAAGAGCTCACAGTGGTTAGAGCTTTTTTATAGACTAATTTACTTTTCTATCTACTCCCATGAGAAGAATGCTGTTTCTATTTCCTAGTCCCAAACCCTGTCGAAAAATTAAATTCTTTATAGGCAATATATTACACATTCAGCCCATCAAAAATCTCTGAATTCCTCCCACAAGTAATTTATCTTTGCATGTATATGACCAGTTTCCTTGTGTGGGGAGTTGCTTTGAGGGCTGATTTATAAACCCTGGCATTCCCAGTGCTCAGCTCAATAGCATGTCTGACTGTATTCCACATTGTTTTTATACTGTGGGCGGCGGTTGTGTTGATGATGAAAAAGCAGCAGGGAGGAGGACTTGGGGTCAACAAGCTCCTAGTTAGTTGCCAGTCTGTAAAATGGATTAGTAATGCCTACCTCACAGAACTGTACTGAGAGACAAAAGTAAAAGCCTCTGGCACAACACCCAGATGCTCACTGTGTGTGTAAAGCTGCTTAAAAAGTCAAAACACGGAATTGTTAGGGGTTGCTTAGATGAGAGCCTTCCTTGGGAACTTCAGTGGGTAGCACAGCCAAGCATAATTCATGTTTAAAATTACTGAGTAAGAAGAGATGCATTATCCCTGGCATCATTCAAAAAAATAAAGCAGGAAAGTGAGCAATGACTTTTAAGTTTTTTCAAAAAATTTGTAAAAATGGACTTCTGGGTAAAGATGACAGACTGAAGCTGGACCACAGAATTCCCTTCCCTCCCCTAATGAATGAATTTAAAAAATTATATGCAGTGAAATGTTCAGTGAAATCCAGATCGAAGCTGATAAAACCGTAACGATTTATAAAAATTCAAATGGAAGGAAATGCATCATTTTGCTAGGTCTAGTAAGATGTCTCCACCCCCCCCCCCCCCAACTATACCCATCATAGGACCCTGTAATCAGTTGTTGCCAACCACTATTTAAAAATTAGATGACAGAGGCGCCGTCTCTCTCTTCTGGGAGGAGTTTTGCCCTCATGCCCCTGCTTTCCTGCCATCAGCTGCTCTCTGGCTCACTGCAGCCTCCCACACTCCTGCCCTGGTCAGCTGCCTTGTTCTCTGAACATTTGAGTTTGCAACCCCGAGGTGGGCATGAACTCCAAGTTTATAAAGAAAATTGAGGCTCAGGCAGAACAAGTAACTTGTCCAATGTTAAATAGTGGCAGAGGCTGGGTTTTTAACCTGGATATTTCAATAAATTCTATACTCTTTCCACTGTACCGACTGAAAATGAGATGAATGCACCTCATTTATTTTATATGTTTCTCCTGTGTGTCACTCAGGTGTGTATACACTCTATGCCTCTAGGCTACAGGAGCCATACAAAATAAATTATATATGCTTTCATCCAAAAGAATCTGACCCTGAATTTGCCACTTATGTTTGTCCAAGGACCATCTTCCGTGAAACTAACTCAAAGCCACTTATTCTCTCATTGTTGTGTCAAAAAACAGGATCATATATTTTTTTTAAAAGTTTTTATTTATTTTAGAGAGAGAGGAGGGGAGAGGGAGAGAAACATTGATGGTTGGCCTTCTGCCCGCCCCCTACTGGCAACCCGGGCATTGAACTGGCAACTTCTTGCATGGCAGGATCATACTTTTTACTAGTAAGTGTTGCATTTTTAATTGTATTAAAAAACAGACATCGTCAACATTTCAAATGCTTTAATTCACATTTCTGTCTGTAGGCAATGACCACAATACAGACCCAACCCAACAAAAGCAATTAACACAGGGTAATTAAGTGGTAGGTACACAGCATGTGGCCAGAGGGCGAGAAAGTGCAAGAGGCCAGCTGGCTGCTTACTTGGAGCCTCACAAGCGTCCTCAGTCCTGAGGACTCAGAGATCTGATTCAGTCAGTTCTCCTGCAAGAGTGATCAGGCGAGAGGCCCAGGCTGCTCTAACTGTGCATAGAACAGAATTACAGATGACTGCCCATTTGCCTGCAGGAGATCAAAGTAAAGAGAAAGAGCCAGAGCTGGAGAAATGAGAGCAAATGTCCTTATGAGTCATTGTCATCCACTGCACAAAGGCCTTTTCTTACTCCAGGCATTTCCTCCCAATCTCATCTGACCTGGATGCCAGCTTGCCTGGACAATGCTAGAGAACAAGAAAAGCAACCTAACTACTATGTTTTCTTTTCAAATTTCTAAATTTTTAAAAGAAACCTACCTACATTTCACTGTCCACAATTAGGCAGAATTAAAAAAAAAAAAGTGAATATAAAGTGCTGGTTCTTGATTCAATATTATCATTTCAAGGGAAAACCACCCAAAACTGTCACCCATTCTATTGAGCTCTTCAGCTGAACAATGCAAAGTATGTATTCGGATCCACAGGAATCTGTAAATTAATATAACCTTCAAAGTTTAGTTGTTGGCAATTAAAAATTCCATAATGTACGTTAAATACAATTTTGCTTTATATTGCAAATGCAAACTATCTTTGCTTCGACATGCTGGTCGTATTCATTTTTACAGTGCAAAAAGGACTTGACAATTTCTGAGTCACAGTCTATTCTACAACTCTAAGTAGGCAAACACATTTCAAAAAGCAAATACTATATATGTTTCTGACACATCTTAACAAATAAAAATAAATACTTTTGACTATAAACTTTTTATAAACATTAGTGACATTAAGGTTCACAGCTAATTGTTGCAGAAGCCTAAAACGCACTTAAGGTCATGTACTCTTCCCATTAGACAACCTTACAAGTCAGTCAGGTTTCTATTAAATGTAACCAAGCATGGGAATGATCACCATTTACTTATATAATGGATCCGTGAGAGCTGCCAGGTATTCAGTATTTAAGCCACTAAGTCTACCAGGAGTTAGGAATGTGTGAGGACAATAAAAGATGAGAGAAGTCAAGACAGACATGGAGATATGCTTTCTTCGTATATTTCTTCCTGAGAATATAGAAGCTATTAAAAAAAAAAATCAAGCCCAGCTAGTTGCTCAGTGGTTGAGCATCAACCTATGAACCGGGAGGTCATGGTTCGATTCCCGGTTGGGGCACATGCCCGGGTTGCAGGCTTGATCCCCAGTGTGGTTGTGCAGGAGGCAGCCAGTCAATGATTCTCTCTCATCATTGATGTTTCTATCTCTCTCCCACTCTCCCTTCCTCTCTGGAAAAAAAAAAAAATCAAGACAATTTCCAATGAAACAGGAAAATCTGGGGGCAGATTATCTTTTGCAATGTGTAGGATCCCCGGTAGTGTAAACAATCGCTACCCTAATATGTAACTTGTAAACATGAGTCTTGTAAATTGTAGATTATTTAAAAGAAGACACATGCCTATATATGTATTTGCAAGTGAATTTAACAGTATACAGGGGTGGATAAAAGTAGGTTTACATTAGTTTATATGGAAAAATAATACAATAATTAATAAATAATACAAGAATAAAGTGTTTTGCCAACTCACAACTGTAAGCTTACTTTACTTTTGCTCAGCCATATTTGTAAAAGGTGATAATGTAGAACAATTCTGACCATGAATTAAAGAATAAAACTCATTATACTCAAAACATGATCTCCCATCACTATATGGGTGCATGAATAAGGTGAGACCAGATCTGCTCACAGAAATCTCTCAGTACTAGACTTTAACATTTCCTGATGAGATTTGGGAGTTAATTTAAGCAGAATGAAAGTACTTTATATAATGTACTAAGCATTGTAATCAGCAGTAGGTTGTTCCTGGGCCTTACCTTTAGTGACTGAAAGTTAAGTTTACAGTAATTCATGGATGACAGATTCATAATAGATCCTTAAGGAGAGCTAATGTTTTGGGGGACACATTTTTATCTTTCAGAGATTAATGTTATGAAAGAGCAATAAGACAGGGCATTTGTTAGAGAAACACCAGGCTGGAGACCCAGTGGGCTGCTGAACCCCGGAAGGAGGGAGCAGGTTGGTTAGCAACAGAAGAGCACCCCTAATGGATAACCATGGGACTAGCCCTTCAGTAAGGTTTTGGCAATTGAGGGTCAAATAAAACAGTGAAACAAAACATTCAGTTATCTAAGAGTAGTTTGTCAGCGCTTTCACCACCCCCCTTTTAAATTGAGGAGTATTTCTAAAGAATGAGAATATCTGTCAGGGGAATTAAATTATGGGTTTTAGTTACTTAGTCAATAGGCCACATTTCTGATTGTGACTAGAATTTATGTGATCAATAAACTTATTAAATAAAGCTATATACTATAAACACTAGACACAGGTTACCACAATAAAGAAAATAAATAAGTAAAAAAAAATACATCTCTCTCTTAAAAATAAATACGATAGAAACATTTTTTAGTAGAGGATTCTCTCATTGCCCCAAGGGGAAATTCTGTTAAGTACTTTGGCTACAAAAGACTATTGTAAGAAGACCACTTATTACTCATTATTAAACTGTTTTTGAGAAATTAATATGACTAGTAAACTTTCTTTACCACACTTTTCTTGAATTGATTACATTGTCTTTTAATCAAAAGAGAAGTGAGTGGGTGAACTGTCCAGCTTGGAACCCATAACTTTCAATTCAAAGTATTATGTTAATTTTCACCAATTCGCCTGTGTGGCTCTCTCTTGGCTGCCTTGGGTTCTAGCAAGATGCTGAATTTCAGCAGCTCAACATGGTCATTACCGGGGTTAACCAAACATTTGGGGGTCTGAGAGAATTCCTAAAATAAAAACCATAACAAAAATTTCCAGTATAGTCTTTCCTTTACATTTCTCTTTTTAGGGTTTCCTGGAAATAAACACTATGGACCCACTAGATGCTGGGCTGTAGGAAATCTTAGGAGGCACATGCTGCAGGAGGGCCCAGCTTAACCACACTGGCTGGAAACCAACCATTCCCTTTCAAAAAGCAAGTTAATTTTGAAAATGTTATGGTGTCACCACATTAAAAATTAAGATGGAAGTGATTTTCCCACCCACATCTTGTTGGATGTATACTATGTCCATCAAACGTGTGGTTCAAGAATAAAGGAGGGATATCCTTCAGTGAGCCTCACTCTCAAGCATAAAGACACTTCACCTTCATGTACAGTTCTGTGACATTTTAAATGAGGACCATACGATCAAAGTGTTTGTAAAAACAAAACCAAAAAACAGGCATTAGTAAACAACTGGAAGTTTGGCTGTTTTTGGAATGATATTTACAGAAATGTGTACTCATACTACTGGTGAAATGAAGACTAAATAGTTGATAGGGAATTTCTACTTTTGGATGAATATGTATTTACTTGTTTGTGAGCATTCTATTGTAAGTTTTCATTTCCTCATCCAGCTACTCAGTATCCTTGATATCCTCTTGATCTGAGTTACTAGAGACGTCATCATCCGTTTGTTCTCCGGAGAAATACAGCATCAGTGCATGTGTCTTGTGAGTGATGGTAACAGTGCAGGGCCCTTGGGCCCAGGGCTCCCCATCCACCTGCATTGGCATCATCGAGCACTTCAAAATCAGCTGGGATTAGGGAACAAAGAATGAGAAAAGTCAGTCCCCAAAAAGCTCAGAAAGGTCTTCCTTAAAACATCATCCATAGTCCTTAAACCTCCTTAGCATTTCAGTCGGAGAAAATTAATCTGGATATATTTTCCTTCCTTGCTTGTTTAAAGGATTCTTTCCCAATGAACACTTTATTTCTTCAACTGGTCTGACGGCCCTATTTGCTGTTTCTTCCCCATCCCACTCAAGCCCTTCGTGGAGGCTGATGGACCGCACAGGAGTAAGCACTGCTGAAGGAAAGCGACAGATCGAGGGCTTAGAAACGGACGGACTGACTAGCCAGTTACGCATGGTCACCTACCCGCACGGTGTGCGCCTGTCCTATTCGAAAAGGGTTTGCCAATTTCACTTGAATCTGAGCACAGTGGAAAGACCCATATACGCCAACGACTTCCAGTAAACCATCGTCATGCCTAAAATTAGAAAAAGGAAATACGGATTATATGATGCAATAAAATAAAATCAGCCATGTTAGGACAGTTATTTTTTTTTTAACATAGGTGGACCATCAACTTATTAAATATTTACATTAATGAGGTATACAAGAAAGGAAATCTGAGGAAAAAAAAGTCTATGAAGAACAGACTGCTTAAAAGCAGAACACAGTGACATAAAAGAGCAGATCTCGCCGAAACTGGTTTGGCTCAGTGGATAGAGCGTCGGCTTGCGGACTGAAAGGTCCCAGGTTCGATTCCGGTCAAGGGCATGTACCTGGGTTGTGGGCACATCTCCAGTGGGAGTTCCACTCGCTCACCATCTGATTGATGTTTCTCTCTCATCGATGTTTCTGACTCTCTCTCTCTCTCCCTTCCTCTCTGTAAAAAATCAATAAAATATATTTAAAAAACAAGAACACAGTGACAAAAACAGCAGATCGCAAATGTACATACCTGGCTAGGGGGTAAGTCTCATCTCCCATCCCTTCCCATAGTCTGCAGCCACCGCCCCAGTATCCAATGTTCAGAACAATAATACCTTCCAAATTAGGCAGTTCCACTCGCTCACCATCCAGTTCTAGCTTTAAAGAAATCCAAGCAGTTAGTTACCACAGGGCACATGATTTGCAGACATATCCACTTAGAATTCACGTCCACTTTCATATACATGAGATGTGAGAGATGCATGTGTAAGAGAAGACTACTTCCTCACTCATGGTAATCTGGCCTCTCACATCTGTGCAATGTTTATTATAATAAACGAATGATAACAAATGGATTTTCCCCACAAGGTCATCAATCACATCCTTTTTGTTAACTCCCATTCTTTGACTGTATTGCAATGTGGTTTGAATGTCTTTCTTCTCTCTAGACCAGCGGTCACCAACCTTTCAGACCTCACGGACCACAAGAGGTCCGCAGACCACCGGTTGGTGACGGCTGCTCTAGACTATACGTTAGTGACAACAGGGGTTTATCGCTGTATCCCCAGTACCTAGGACAGTGCATTTTGTAGGCGGCTTCACTAAAATTTTTGTATAAATAAAGGACCAGCCCTGACTGGTTTGGCTCAGTGGATAGAGCGTCGGCCTGCGGACTCAAGGGTCCCAGGTTCGATTCCGGTCAAGGGCATGTACCTTGGTTGCAGGCACATCCCCAGTAGGGGGCGTGCAAGAGGCAGCTGATCGATGTTTCTCTCTCATCAATGTTTCTAACTCTCTATCCCTCTCCCCTCCTCTCTGAAAAAAATCAATAAAATATATTTAAAAAAAAATAAAGGACCAGATAAAAAAAATAAAGTGCTACCTCCTATGCTTCATTCTACCAACACTATCACAGCCTAACACAAAGGAAATATGATAAAGCAGAAGGAAGCTTTTTTATGGGCAATCTTGCCATTCCTCTGTGCTGTGGCTGCAAAGGCTGTGAGCTCTTCCCGTTTTACGTATTTTACTAGTTGTAGGTTTCTCTGTATTAATGGCTTTGTCAGTGCTATTAACAATTACAAATTCTTTTTGGAAGCAAGCAAGGAATATATACAAGTCTTTGCCATATTATGATGTCAGGGATATTGTAGCAGTAAGCAATCATTAATATCCTATTTTTACTGCTCATATTTTTTATTTTGTAAGAGAGATGCATGTGGTAATATGAATTAAAATTTGGGTCAAACCTCCCCCTAGTGCCGTAACCGGTTTGGCTCAGTGGATAGAGCATCGGCCTTCGGACTGAAAGGTCCCAGGTTCGATTCCGGTCAAGGGCATGTACCTTGGTTGCGGGCACGTCCCCCAGTGGGGGGTGTGCAGGAGGCAGCTGATTGATGTTTCTCTCTCATTGATGGTTCTAACTCTCTATCTCTCTCCCTTCCTCTCTGTAAAAAATCAATAAAATATATTTAATAAAAAAAACAAAAAAACAAAAAAATGAAAACCTCCCCCCTAGAGTCCATGAAGAAGTCAAGTGACTGTGTTAAAATAAGCTTCACACTTGTCATCATGTATGAATGGAAATTGTTTAGCATAGAGTTAAAACAGACTCTGGAGCTATATAAACCCGGGGTCAAATCCTGATTTTACATGTGTTTTTGTAATTATTTAATTTAGTGGGATAATGTGTATAAAGCAGTTTGTAAAGTGTCTGGCACACAATAAATACTTCATATATGTTAGCAAAATATGTCAGAAATTCAGCATTTCTGTTAAAACAATGTTCATTATCCAGAGAGCACCTAAACTTTAAAAGCTTACCTCAACTTTTTTATTCAGATCTTTACATTCTTGCACTAAACAATCTTTGGTTCCATAGAATAAGTAAACAGCCTGTGAGAAATAAACAGAAAATATGACAGTAAAGCACTCTAACAAGTCCTGTAAGCAAGAAAAAGACACAGGACCAAAGCTCCCTGCCCTGAGTGCTGAGTCATGTTTCCTCAGAGTGGATTAGACACTGGATTAGGCACCATTACTTTTGAGTTCAGCCTGTTTTTCAGGGGGAATATGGGATAGAGGTGGTTTGTGTCTAAATAATGTTTTCCCCCAGCTTATTAAAAAAAAACAAAAAACACCTAAGTTTTCACCCTGGCTGGTATTGCTTACTGGTTAGAATGTTGGCCTGTGCACTCAAGTGTCTTGGGGCTTTTTTTTTTTTCTTCTTTTCACATTTTTTTAAAACATTTTTTTGGGGGTTAATCCTCACCTGAGGATATTTTTCCATTGATTTTTAGAGAGAGTGATCAACTTGATGCCTGTTGCATACATTGATGTAAGAGACACATCAACTTGATGCCTCTTGCATGCTCCCTGACTGGCCTGGAATCAAGCCGGCAACCAAGGCATGTGCTGTTGACCAGAATCAAATCCGAGGCCCTTCAGTCCACAGGCCAAAACTATACCCACTGAGCCAAACCAGCTAGGGCAGTGTCTTGGGTTTGATTCCTGGTCAAGGGCACATACCTGGGTTGCAGGTTGGATCCCTGGCCCTGGTTGGGGCATGTGGAAGGCAACCAATCAATGTCTCTCTCACATTGATATTTCTTTCTCACTCTCCCCCTCCCTCCTTACCTTTCATTTTCTCTAAAAAAATCAATGGAAAAAATATCCTTGGGTGAGTGAGGATTAACAACAATAACTACAACAACAAAGCTACATTTTATAAAGAAATACATTAAAATTAAAAAATTCCACCTTTTTCTAGAATGTCAGATTACTTAAGGAAAGTAATACAGATAAATCTAGGAATATTTTATAATTGCTTTTGAATATAAAAAGGGTGCAAAGTTGACTGGAAGCACTAAAATGTAGTTAATTACCAATGATATAAACAGCAGTACTTACTGCCTTAGTACCTACATTAATAAAAGGAAACTATTTGTAATATGAAATATTTGTAAAACAGAACCAGGAACAAAATTGTTTTGCATTTATTTTTCATATCCTATTGCGAAGTCACCAACAGTCATTAAAAAACTCCAAGACCAAACTTCCACCAAAAGAATAACCTGTACTAGAAACCAGAGTGATGCTCGTGGTTAAAAGTGCTCCTTCTCTTACCTTACCTGCCTTTCCCAGTTTTTTCCAAGCCAGTGGAATCTATTTTTTCCATTAACAACTTCACCTAAAATGTATCCTGCCTAAAATTTCTTTCCAATATCAGTTGCCATTTAAGTAAGATAAGCTATTGTATACTTGACTTAGTTGCCTTTAAGCAAAATATGCTGTAAAACATTCCAACTTTAAATCAAAAAATTTTGCCATAATTATAAAATACTTTAATCAAATACACTTAAAGATATAATTTGACAGTCTTACACAAAACAGAGCAGGCCAGTGTTTCCCTAAGTTAGTTCTGTCTGAATCTACTTGAAAGGGTGCTAGATATAAGGAACTATTGATTTTTACTGTACCTTCGGTGTAAGCAGGAAATGTTATTTTATCCAACACACCTTATTAAGAATTCTGCTAGAAAACAGAGATGGTGCCTTCTCGCGATGAGCGTGAAAATTGAGAGCCATGAGAGCGTCAGGTCCAACAGAAAAGTAGTTGTTCATTGTGAATTCCTGTGGAAAAGGGTAAGATTTAGCAAGAGATTTGCTTCAGTTTAAGCCTGTGTCATGTATTCAATATGTAAATCTGTTTTTATGTTCTTTATGACAATTTAATACTTTCTGCATTTCCTGTCCTCATAGAGCTATTTTATGCTATCCAGTATGTTTAGAAAGAAAGCTTCAGTTCAACGGCTGATAATTACAGAAGTGAGTTTCCCTTTCCACTTCTGTTTAATATGCTACATCTCAAATCTCATCAAGTAGAGGGACTCTACTTTGCACCTGGGCTTTCCACTCCTCTGTTCCTGTTACATTTGCTTCTATCAGTCTCAACCCAGGCTCCCAGCACCTCCTTAGTTTATCTGACCTCCCGGCCCAGCCTGGATTCCTCAGCCTACATCTCCAGCTCTGTCTTGTTCCTGAGAATAAGCCCGAATGTCCAGCTTCTTGTTCAGTGCACCATGGTCTCAGGTTGAGAAGCTCAAAATCTAACTCATTTTCTTCCTATGCAAACCTGAAACTCTATTTTTCCTATGTTAATGTCATTTCCATGCACCCAGTCATGAAAACTAGAAATCTAGTAGTAAATACATATTTTTTCTCTCCCCCTAGTACCAGTCGGGTGCCAAGTCTTGGTCAATACTACTTCAAAATAGTCGATTTTCTGGGATTCTTCCCTTGAAAATGTGGCGTTTAATTTTGAAAGACATACCAGGCCATACATAGTTCCCAACTATATTCCAAGTAGGTGAGAGGCTGAAATCTTAAAATGTTTATCTTTCACTTCCCCCAGTCTGTGGTCTGTCTCTGGATCGGCAATAACTGCCTGAACAGCTACTATGGCTTCATTAATTTGTGTCTGTGGCTCTTTGAGCTCTTCTCTGTGTAGCAATCGAATTAAGAACTGCATCTCTTGCTGAAACCAGTTTGGCTCAGTGGATAGAGCGTCGGCCTGCGGACTGAAGGATCCCGGGTTCGATTCCGGTCAAGGGCATGTACCTGGGTTGCGGGCACATCCCCTGTAGGAGATGTGCAGGAGGCAGCTGATCGATGTCTCTCTCATCGATGTTTCTAACTCTCTGTCTCTCTCCCTTCCTCTCTGTAAAAAAATCAATAAAATATATTAAAAAAACAACAACAACAAAAAAACTGCATCTCCTGTGACAAAACCAAGAATGTGCTTGTCTAAAGCAACAGGCAACCCCCCCTTTGTGTGATGCTTAGCAGCGGCATCCTGTGTCAGGCTCCTGGGCCAGAATGAGTTACATTAAGCATTACCAAGTAATCATCAAGACGCTGAATCTGAAGGTCAAAGTCGTTCCACCCACCGTAAAGTCGGGATTGTTTACACCCCAACTGATCAATGGTTCTGCATTTTTAGCTGCATTGCTGGTATTTTTTGTATTATCAGGAACCAAGTCCCTGTGTTTTGCAGCATTATCTCCACATTCAAGTTTAACAGCTAAACCAAGAAGCCAGCCAACTGCTTCTTGTCAGTCTTGAGTCTTGAAAGGACAGCTAACATCTGTGAGATGCTTTTCAAAGAACTTGGGTCAGTCACTGCTTTGGATGTCTCTTAAGTTACCTCTGTCTTCAGTCTTGTAGCGTCTGATTTTCTGGTCTTCAATAAAGTTTCTAAATTCTGTTTCATCTTTGCAATTGAAGCCAGCAGGGTTGTGGTAGTCGAAAGCCATTAGCTTGTGTGGGAACACGGTCCCGGCTTCTCGTTCTGGTCCCCCGGACTTCGGCAGGAGAGGAGAGGTGAGGAGTGGCCCATGCACGGGTGACGGTGATGCGGTGAGAGCCAGAGCATCTTTTTAAAAATACAGATCTGCTCTCTGTCTGTATGATTTGCTATTTGCTAACTATGATTTGTACCCTCTGGTCTCTATTCTTCTGCCTGGAAAGTACTGATCCTTTCTCTGTTGATCTAAATTGTATTTACCTTTTAAGGATCAACTCACATGTGGCTTCCTTCCCCTGCCTGAGCTTCCAGGGCAGAACTGAGCACCTTGTGCTGCTCCTGCCCACAGCACTCTGTACAGTCCAGCCTGGGAGCTGTGCCTGACGCCCAAGCACACGGGTCTCTTCTGCTCCATAAGCAGCTCCCTACAGGGAAGCCCTCCGTCCCTGTGCCCGACCAGTGCCGCATCTCATACTGTGGAGGCTCTCCATCATGATCGCTGAAAGTACTCTCAACTGAAGCCCCAAAAACATACCTTGGGTTGCCCGGCCGGTGTGGCTCGGTGGTTCAATTCCAGTCAGAGCACATGCCCAGTTGGGGGAGGGGTGCCGGAGGCAGCCGATGGGTGATTCTCTCTCATCATTGATGTTTCTATCTCTCTCTCGCTTCCTTTCTGAAATCAATAATAAAAAAACCACACCACATACCTTGGGTTTTCTCAGGTTGTAGTATCCTTTATTTGTTACTTGAACTTTCCATCTGAAAAACAGAGAAGTTAAAAAAACTCATGATTATTTCCAAATTAACTGCCAATTAGCTACAATTATAGCAATCAACTCTGGATGCCTGGGAGATGAGGTCCTTCTATTAAAATAGCATTTGAGCCCTAGCTGGTTTGGCTCAGTGAATAGAGCATTGGACTGCGGACTGGAAGGTTCCGGGTTTGATTCTGGTCAAGGGCACACACTCTGGTTGCGGGCTCGATCCCTAGTAGGGGGCATGCAGGAGGCAGCTCATCAATGATACTCTCTCATCATTGATGTTTCTATCTCTCCCTCTCCCTTCCTCTCTGAAATCAATACAAATATTAAAACAATAAATAAAATAGCATTTGAAAAATAAGCACATCTGTGAGTATGCAAATTTTGAGATAAGTATTCAGCCTAACTTGTGACTTCAGTCCTTATATAACAAGAAAATATTACAGCAACAAAATAAAACACCATCATCTATGTATAAGTACAACTAACATAGTCTTTCACTTTTAAATTACGTTGAACTTTATAACTTATACAAGACTTCATTTATAAACCAAACAAAATTCTCAAAGCTCAAAATTCTACTTTTTTTGGGGAAGTGCAACTTACCTGTCCAGTTTAATTCCATCTGCTTCCATCACATTTCTTAAGACCTGGGCAACTGGGATTTCACCCGTGTAACTTGTGCCCCAGCCCAATGTATTGGATAGATCGTTGCCTGTTCCCAGAGGCAAGACTGCAACTTGTGGGATGTATTTTTCTTGCCCCTAGAATATGGAAGATAGAGTTTAGATTTTTCTCTTCTATTTGTACAGTAATAACATTTGGTAAAACTTAATGACGGAAGCAATAAAGATATAAATATAACTGAATGTTGTTTTGCTAAAGTTTATGCTAACTGCTTAATCATAATATACCAAATTGGTAGTCTTCTCATATTCATCTACAAATAAAAGATATAACCAAAAATCTTGTATAATTATCTTAGTGCTCATGTGAAAGGCAAGTACTCAGCCTAACGTATGACTTCTCACTCAGATCTTAGCAGTGATGGCGAACCTATGACATGCATGTCAGAGGTGACACGCAAACTCATTTTTTTGGTTGATTTTTCTTTGTTAAATAGCATTTAAATATATAAAATAAATATCAAAAATATAAGTCTTTGTTTTACTATGGTTGCAAATATCAAAAAATTTCTATATGTGACACGGCACCAGAGTTAAGTTAGGGTTTTTCAAAATGCTGACACGCCGAGCTCAAAATGTTTGCCATCACTGTCTTAGAGGTTGGTACCTTAATCTTCATTTCATCAATGGCATCCAGGACCCAGCCCACAGTCCCATCCCCTCCACACACAAGTACTCGAGCTGAGTGATAAGGAAGAAGAGTACAAAGTTGCAGGGCTTTGATGGGGGGAGTTTTAGTTACATCAAAAACCTAAAAATGAAAGAAAAGAAAACAATTATTTTTATCCAACACTGTCCTCCACTTGTCAGCATGACTTCCCTCTAGATCAGTGGTTCTCAACGTTCCTAATGCCGCGACCCTTTAATACAGTTCCTCATGTTGTGGTGACCCCCAACCATAAAATTATTTTCGTTGCTACTTCATAACTGTGATTTTGCTACTGTTATGAATCATCATGTAAATATCTGCTATGCAGGATGTATTTTCATTGTTACAAATTGAACATAATTAAAGCATAGTGATTAATCACAAAAACAATATGTAATTATATACGTGTTTTCCGATGGTGTTAGGCGACCCCTGTAAAAGGGTCGTTTGACCCCCAAAGGGGTCGAGACCCACAGGTTGAGAACCGCTGCTGTAGATGGTATAGACATGGTTAAGTAAAAGACTGGCTGCAATGCACTGATCTATAACAATATGCCAGGCTCTATGTTAGACTTTTCTTTTCCTTTACATCCTTTTTACTTAATGTATAATGTTGAAAGGGAAAATGCACATTGGAAGGAAAAACATCAGTGCGTCTCTGATTGTTGCACAATGGGTTGTTTAGTTTTTCAAAGCAGAAGCTGCTAGCACGTAACCTCAATCTCAATGGCGCAATTGTTTTATCGTTATTCTTTAATTGAAGTATAATTTAATCTAATGAAATTCACCCATTTCAAGTGAACAATTCGATGACAGTTAGGAAGTTTACTGAGCTGTGCATCAGCACTTTAGAACTTTCGTCGCTCTGATAAGATCCCTCAGGACCCGTGGCAGGTGGCCATACTTCCGATTTCCTACCTCAGGCGACCATGAATGTACTGTTTCTACAGATTTGCCTTTTCCAGGGAGATCATACATCAAATCATACAATATGGGCCCCTTGCATCTGGCTTCTTGGACAGGTGGGCTATTTCTACTTTTTGGCTATAATGCTGCTATGAATATTTGCATAAAAGTCTTTGGAAACATGTTTTCATTTCCCTTGGGTAGACTGAACCTGGGCATGTGCTCTGACCAGGAATCAAACCGTGACCTCCTGGTTTATAGGTCAACGCTCAACCACTGAGCAACACCGGCCAGGCTATATGTTTAATTTTTTAAGAAACCTCCAAACTGTTATCTAACATGGCTGTAGCATTTTATACCTTCACCATGAGTTCCTTTCTCAACATATTAGAATAGTTTGATACTTTTATAATTATTATTCTTTCCTACAATCAGGTGAATACTGGTTGAAAGAATTAATAACCATTACAATTTAGGGAAAATGAAAAGCTAAAATGAAAAGATTAACACTGAAAGGAAGGTTTTCTCTTTAGATACCTGGACTGGGTTTAGAAGGATCCTGAATTCTCCCAATAGTCCATCTCCCATGTTAGTTCCACTACGAGAGTTGGCCAGGATTATTAATGGAGTCCATTGCTTCCCAAGCTTAGAGGCTAGCTAAAAAAATTAAGGTGAATGAAAGAGTTAAATATCTCATCTGTACACGGTATTGTGTTCAAGTCAAGTCCATCACCATTTATCCTTCCTATACCTTCCCCCACCTACCCTACCCCCCAATTTTTCATTTCTTGATAACAGTGCTGTAATTTGCTGAGAGAAAAACAACTATCCCAGAACAATAAATATAATATAAAAATCAAAGAACAGGACGGGACCTTAAAGATGAACTAATTTAACTTCCACTTAATGTACAATTCTCTTGTACATTATTCTAGTTAAGTCCTCCAGTGTATGCTTAGATACACATATAAGAACTCACTAACAACGCAGCCCATTCTACTGCTAAATTATTAGTCTTGACTTAAATGGAGTTAAAAATCTGTCTTTCAATAACTTTTATTTATTGTTCTAATTTCATTTTCTGAAGCAACTAGACATAATTTCACTTGTTTTTCCCCTATAATGCTGTGCTCAAACACCTGAAGCATATTATCTTTCATTAGTCTTGTCTCCTAGACAATGCATTTCAAGTTCTTTTGACCTTTCATAGAATAGACAATGACTTTCTCTGCTCTTTTACCTTGACTGTCCTTTTCTGGATACAGTCTAATATATAGTTTGCAAGTTTATTTGCTTTTTTCAAATGGGTACTCAGAAATAGATGAAAGAATCCAGACTTGTACAAAGCCCAAAGTCAAATGAAATTAATGTTTTTCTAACCTAACAATTTATTTCCTCTCCCCTTCTCCTGGTAGATGGAAACATGAATGGAGTTGTTTTGTGTTTTTTCTTAGCAATTCTCACTCCTTGTGATCTGAGTAAATTAAAATACATACGGTTTTACATTTATTTACTTATCTTTACTATAATTTTTTAAATCCTCACCTGAGGATATATATATTTTTTTATTGATTCCAGAGAGAGAGGGAGAGGAGACAGAGAGAGAGAGTGAAAAAAAAAACATCAATATGAGAGAAAAACATTGATTAGTTGCCTCCTGTACATGCCGAGACTGGGATTGAAGCTACAACCTAGGTATGTTCCTTGACCGGGAATCAAACCAGAGACCCTTCAATGTATGGGAGACACTCCAACCAACTGAGCCATGCAGGACAGGGCTAGGGATTGTACATTTAAAAATATGTATCACAGCCTGGCCAGTATGGCTCAGTGGTTGAGCATCAACCCATGAACTAGGAGGTTGAAGTTCAATTCCTGGTCAGGGCACATGCCCATGTTGCAGGCTCGATCTCCAGGGGGGGGGCATGCAGAAGGCAGCAGATCAATGCTTCTCTCTCTAGTCCCCTCCCTCTCTCTCTAAAAAAGAAATCAGTAAAAACATATTTTAAAAAATGTACCACAACATTAAATATAATGTTTTTAAATTTTCAAATTCCCCTTTCTTTTGCAGGAATATTGACAAAGATGACATTTAAGATATAAAATCCTAACTTGGAAAAGACACAATTTAATTTTAAAATAAAGCAGTTTAACCATTTTGGCATATTCATGTAGAAAATCAATGCCAATATTTATAGTTATTCCTTCAGAGCTACATAACGACTGAGAGATACATTTACATCAGTTTTCATACACAAACATACTGTTAAGTGCTGTTAGCAGCTTCCATGTTCAACATTATTTGTGGGATCATATAATGAGCAATGTAAATGCATCTCTAGACACCCTGTGTAAAGTTCCCAACGGAAAAATTCTTCTAGAACAATGTGTGAGGAAAATCTACATTTTCTTTTCACTGACAATAATCATGAATCCCAATCCTAGCTGTTCATCAGAATCATCTGAGAACCTTAAAAACACATGGATGGATTCCTGGGACCTACTTACTAAATCAGACATGGTCATGGAAGTGGGTTCAGGAACCTGTATATTTAAAATGCTCCCCAAGTGATCTAGAAGCAGGCAGTGATTTAGAAACCACTAATATAACATTTCCTTTTAGACATGAAAGAACTCAAGAGCCCACATTTGTGGCACACCTCTAGGATCGGGGTAGGGATTTATGGTTTACCATAACGATTCTCTCATGTACACACAGTTGTAATGGTCACACACTGACTTAAACCACTGCCTGGAAATCAATTACATAAGGACAAATGAACTCTGATTACCATTGCATAATCTGTTTTTTTGTCTTTACGCATCTGATTAATAGAGGTTAAGTAACTGGGTGGAATGATGAGGTTTCTGAATTCTCCAAAATCACATGTTTCGTTCTTTAAGCTACTTCTCATGCACTCATCATGGACAGTTTTCTGACACCAAATGCACCTGAGGGATGGAAGAAACCAAGATAATAATGAGTAACTTAAAACCATAGCTTACTGATCTGCAGACCAATCATTTTTGTCAAAAAACCTAAAACAGTAATGTCATCACTATTGGGCATAAAAGCTGGCAACTGAAAGATTTATAATTATACCTATAGTGAAAATAGAGCAATAAAGTTTGAACATACTTGGCAGTTTGACAGTGTTTTTAAAAAGATGGTTTAGGCCCTAACTGATTTGGCTCAGTGAATAGAGCGTCGGCCTGCGGACTGAAGGGTTCCAGGTTCGATTCCGGTCAAGGGCATGTACCTTGGTTGCGGGCACATCCCCAGTAGGGTGTGTGCAGGAGGCAGCTGATCGATGTTTCTCTCTCATCGATGTTTCTAGCTCTCTATCCCTCTCCCTTCCTCTCTGTAAAAAATCAATAAAATATATAAAAAAATAAAATAAAATAAAAGATGGTTTAGGGCTCCTAAGATCCCTTCACGGTGTCTGTGAGGTTAAAATCATTTAAATAATAATAATAATAATGTTATTTTTACCCTCATTCTCTCAAAAGTGTGCAGTGGAGTTTTCCAAAAGCTGTATGACAGGTGCTACATCAATAAACTGATGCAGAAATAGATAGGAGACTCTGAGCTGGCTTTTAAGCCAAAGAGATGTACCACAACTAACATCACTCTTTTCTTTAGATTTTCATTTATTTCATTTTGATAAAAATGCAGTATTTAGCCTGGCCAGTGGCTCACTGGTTGAGTGTTGACCTATGAACCAGGAGGTCACAGTTCTATTTCCATCAGGGCACATGCCCGGGTTGCGGGTTTGATCCCCAGTGTGGGGCATGCACGAGGCACCTGATCGATGACTTTCTCTCATCATTGATGTTTCTATCTCTCTCTCCCTCTCCCATCCTCTCTAAAATTAAAAAAAACCAACCCAGTATTTGTTATGATCAATCTTTTAAAAATGAATATTGAAAAGTTCTCAGTTTTAATTTATAACATGGTAAATATCAGTAGATCTGATCCACATAAACAAAAGCCGATCTAGAACAACTGTTCTGTGTATTATTCATTTGTGCTTTGGTTGAAGCAGGTTCGTGAGGCCTACAGTCCTTAGTGCTTGAATGGCCCACTGGCCTGGGTCCTTGAAGCATTCCTCAGGGTCCATGTGAAAATATCTTCACTTATATACCCATCTGTGAATATTACTAACTACAGTACAATAGTCCATTTCTTGGTGGCTGTTAATACAAAATGAATCTATATGTTTGCATTTGAAATACAGACAGAAGACATGCACATTCAGATTGGCCTTTGTTTGGACCAGTGCTGAAACCAGCAGGAAACAGTGCTGGTCAAGGTCCCGGGTTCCTGTCATTAATCTGCTCAGCAGTTAATCCTCTCCCAGATAAGGCAGCTCTGACGATCCAGATGACTGCAGGCCGGCTATAACAAACGTCATAGTTAAATGAATAATTTAAAAAAAGGATAATTACTTTTTCACCCCCAGATCAACAATTTAGCCTTCTAGTTTAAGGTTGTTTTTTTTCTGGTTGGATGTTCAGATTTGTCAAGTAATTACTGCTATTTACTGCTGAAAGAAGAGTTATTTGCATGATCTGTTAGAGCAGCGGTTCTTTCACAGGGGTCGCCTAAGACCATCGGAAAACACATATATAATTACATAATGTTTTTGTGCTCACTGATTTATTTCACAGTGGTTTCCTCTGGGAAGGAAAGTGGGACTAAAGGATGACAACATTCACTTTTTTCTCTATATTCTTTTGTAAATTGCCCGAGTTTCTAAAAACCAGAATATCTTCGTGTATTGGTATACATTTTAAAATTGTATTTAAAATGAGATAACATCAGCTTATTCTTGAAAAAGACATAAAACTCATCCAGAAATAGTCACTCTTAACTTTTACATGTGCTTACTCTCGATTTTTACAGTGCAAAAATGTTTGGTTTTCAGGTTAGAAATATGATGTATATATAACTGGATAGTACTTTTTTTCTTCCCACATTGTATCATGAATATGGGCTATGCCATGAAATATTTCTAAAAAACATGGTTTGCAAAGAATGAGTAATATCATATGGATATAACATAATTTATTTAACCCCTTTTCTGTTTCCTCTCCCAAACATATAGTTTATTTTCCTAAGTATAAATAACACGAGGAATAAAATGAGGCTTAAACATAAATGAGGCCATTTTTCTGGACTCTTAGAAGTCAAGATACTGAGTGACAGGCCATGCATTTTCCTAAGGTTCTTGATATGTCTGCCCAATATGCGTATCAATGCATGAAGGTGTCCATCATATCTAACACTTGCTAATACCTTAACTTTTTTTTTTTTTGATAATTTGATAGACAAGAAAGTATTTTGTTGTTTTCATTTGGATGTCTTTGATCACCAGGTGAAGCTGAATTTTTTTGGCCTTTTGTTAATTGATTCATGCCCTATATTTTAATAAATGCATGCATTTTTTTTGTGTAGGATATCAACATTTTCTTGTCATATTTATTGCAAACTAGTTTATTTATTTATATATTTAAAAAAATATATATTTTATTGATTTTTTACAGAGAGGAAGGGAGAGGGATAGAGAGTTAGAAACATCGATGAGAAAGAAACATCGATCAGCTGCCTCTGGCACACCCCCTACTGGAGATGCACCCGCAACCAAGGTACATGCCCTTGACTGGAATCGAACCTGGGACCCTTCAGTCCACAGGCCGTCGCTCTATCCACTGAGCCAAACCAGTTAGGGCATAGTTTTTCTTTTAAAGGTACTTTTTAATGTACTTAAGTTTATTTTTTGATAGATCTATATTTCTTTTTGTGGTTTATTCAAATGTTTTTATGCTGTAAAGACCTATACCCCTGCCATCTGATTTTTTGTAAACAGCTACACCCATTCATTTATGTATTGTCCACGGCTGGTTTTGTTCTATGTTGCGTAGTAGAGTTAAGTAATTATGACAGACCACATGATCTGCAAAACCTAAAATAACGTAGGTTTGACTCTTAACAGAAAAAGTTTGCCTACTTCTGTTCTAGAAGACGATTTGCTATTTTTCACTGTTTCAGATAATTAATAAAACGCATAAACACATACCAATAGAACACAGAGATATAAAATTTAAGATCAAAGCTGAGACTGAAGCTGCCAATGTAATTACCTTCCAAGAGTCAGAAGCTTTGTTTTATGAATCACAGTGTGTGTGTGTGTGTGTGTGTGTGTGTGTGTGGAGTGGGATGTAATGAAGAAAGACCTTATAAATAAAAAGGCACCTTACGTTTTCTTAATGAGAGAGAACACAAAAGGAACAAAGGTTCATTTAATAACTGTAATGAATACTTAAAAATATAAACTAATTTCCTATTTAGTTTAGAAGAGAGGTGAAAAGATTAAAAAAAAGTAGAAGCAGGAAAAAAAAAAAAGGAAAAAATCTACAGGAAAGTAAGAATCCAGCACAGTGTGTGGCAAGAAACAGATGCTTACTATGTGAAAACTAAATAATGACTGAGCATAAATTAAAGGGCCTTTGTCACTTGTCTACGGAGTTTAACTGGGCTGCAGGCATCACTTGCCCTTTGAAATGCTAACTTGTTGTACAGCCTTCACAGTTCATTTAAAATCGCAGATATCCCAAGAGTAGGAGCCCCCAGCAGTGCTTGATAAAATCCAGAGATAGGGACAGTCTGGCCTGTGTTTAAAAGTTCTAAATAGCCCTGGCTGGTTTGGCTCAGGGGATAGAGCATCGACCTGCGGACTGGGGGGGGGCGGGGAGGGAGAGGAGCCCTGGGTTTGATTCCGGTCAGGGGGCACATGCCTGGGTTGTGGGCTTGATCCCCGGTGGGGGGCGTGCAGGAGGCAGCCGATCGAGGATTCTCTCTCATCATTGATGTTTCTCTCTCTCTCCCTCTCCCTCTGAAATAAAACAAAAAAAAAAGTTCTAAATAGATATTTATCTTGTTTCTCTTTCTCAAATATTTCATTCCTACAGAAGGTCATAGCTGACTGTAATCCTGAATAAAATTATTGGCCAAAATAAATCAGAACATTGCAGAATATGTGCCACTTCAGGGCCTTGTGCTCTTTTTTCTTGGGAATAATAAGCCCTTCCTAAATGATACAGAGACCATTTCTACCACGGGTGAAGGGTTCTAGCATGCTTGGACAGACTGCTCAGTACTAGTAAGAACAAGCTAATGAGGAAGAGGAGATTTATCAGCACAGACATTCACTGTCCTCAAGGGGGTGGGGAGGGGACACAAGATTAAGGATAGGGGCTCATGTTTAAAAAAGCTACATAAAGATAAAAGTGGTTCTCCAACTTTAGAGTTACCTGCTGAGCCTGTTAAAGCCAAGAATGCTGGTCCCCAGCCCAAGTTTCTGATTCAGTGGGTTGCCAGGAAAAATAGAGGTTGCTCAGTTAAATCTGAATTTCAGATAAATAAATAATTTTTAGGTATAAGTATGTCCCAAATACAGCAAAAATTTTTATTTTGTTTGCTAAATCTGGCAACCCTAGAATTTGCATTTCCAACAAGTTTCTAAGTGATATTGCTGCTGGTGGTTTTGGGGACTTTACTTTGAGAACCAAAGAGAAACAGGATATTATCATCAAGAGAGAAAAATTTGAGGGCAAGGGATTCCTAGAGGAAAGGGCTCAAGGTGAGTCTTTAAGGATGCATAGAAGCTAGGCAGGAGAAGGATACTTAAGACCGAGAGGAAAGAAAGCCTTGAGGAAAAAAAAAAGAACAGGAAAAAAAAGGACAGTCTTCCTGATGTTGCTTATACATAAAAGTTTAATGCAGGTGGTGGTAGGTAACATTAAAAGGGCAGGCAGGGTCCGGAGAGCATGTAGGATTGTGTGAAGCACTTCGAGTTTACACTGAAAGACCATCAGTGCATGTGAAGGGTTCTAAGCAGAGCAGGTACTCCGTCTGCTCCTTCACAAATAAACATAGTGCTCTGATCCTCCACCCTAATGATCTTTCTAGAAACACAGTTAAGATACTTATGGCAGCCACTTTTATCTAATTCTGCACCAACACAAAGAAGGGAAGGAAATAAAAACAATATAAGTTCATGTCTTCTTTCCAACTAATCCCAGCTCTTGAAGACTGAAGCTTACCTACAGGGAGAACATAAAATGTGAAGACTTCAGTAACCTAGCTCTCATAGATGCCAAAAGGACAAAGAGCCCAAATGAAAATGAGTGGTAACAAAACTCTAGTTGTTTAAAATATATTTTTTGGGAAAGTTAAATTCTTAAGTCTAAATCTGATAGGTAAAACTAAAGAAATAAGACTTAAAAATAGGTGTTGAACACTGCCAGTGTGGCTCAGTGGTTGAGCTTTGACCTATGAACCAGGAGGTTATGATTGAATTTCTGGTTAGGGCACATGCCCTGGTTGCAGGCTCCATCCCCAGTGGGGGGTGTGCAGGAGGCATCTCTTTCATCTCTCCCTCCCTCTTTTTCACTTTCTCTCCTCTCTGAAATCAATAAAAAAATATTTTTAAAAAACAGGTGTTCACTTAACAATGCTCACACTAATTAAGAAAAAAAAGGGATTGAAAAACAACAACAGACATCAAAAGTCACTTTGCTCTCTAGTGCCACCTTTCTATATCAGTTCTTAAACATGGTTCAGGGCCTTTCTACTTGTCAGAACTGAAACCCATCACAATGAAGATGTCCATATCTAAGGCTGAGACAAGGCTCCGTAGTAATAGCATTCCTAACCCTGTCCAGGGGGGGTCAGAATTCTATTTTACTACTGACTACAATTCTCTCAACTGTAAAATAAGTAGACGATCTGCAAAGTACCATTCCCTTTTATTACCAATCTCTAACATGACCTTTACCTAGTTCCAGACAAAATTTAAGAACACAAACATGTTGTTCAGTGTGTATTTAAAGCCATTACAATATGTTTGGCTTCGTCAAAGTCACCCTTCTAAGATGCTACATGTCCTGAAAGACCACTGACAACAGGAGTATACCTTTAAGGGTTGTATGTCACTATAGCATTGAAACCTAAATTCGAAAAAGGTACCTGAAGTGCTGCTTTGGAATGACACTTGTCTTCCTTGTACATACAACACTGAGGATGATGCGTTTTATGACTCCAGGGAAAAGTTAACTTATCCGTACTTTATTTTTCTTCTCTTACATAAAGTGGAGATAATAGCAACCAAAGCTAAACTATAACATACGGTGGCCATAAGTACGCAGCACTTAGAGACCTCTGGCCTGAAGTTGAGAGCTTACAAAAGGGCAGACAAAAGGTCAGGTTGGCTGAGGAGTGAGGGAGGCTAGCATCATCTCAGCCTATGACTATTGCAAAGCTGCCCTGAATGTGGATTAGCCTGCCTCCTCCAAGTGGGCACTTCAGGCCACTTGCAGAGATCAAAGCGGGCCTCCGCACCCACGCCCTAAATCCGGACTCCCATGGAGAGCCGCGGGACCCTCGGGACCCACCAAGGCCATACCTGTAATCGCAGAGCTTCGGCTGACTGCCGCACTGCTGCGTGCACACCACACAGCAGCTGCACAGGGGGACGTTGCCCCGGATCCAGTGGTGGGGCATGGCGTCCAGGGCCTTGGCGTCCGGCTTGAGCACGATCTCCTTTGCACTGGAAGCGCTTGTCGGGCCTTCTTGAGGCAGCCCTCGGCCCACGCGCAGCCCGCAGCAGTCCGCAGAGGCGCCCTGCAGGATGTGCTGCGCGCACACGGCAGGCAGTAGGTGGGGGG